AGCAGTTCTTGAATCCTGTGATCTGCCATCAGGAATCCAGCTTGGTGCTCACTCATTTATTGCATCTTACTTCCACCTTCTCTCACTCATTCATTCATTTATTTACTCACTCATATAGTCACACATTCCCTCATCCATTTATTTAACTATTTAATAATAATTAATTGATTTTGATTTTTCCTTGAATAAGCATCTTTAAGTACTTCTATAAAAAACCTGGCCCAGTAAAGGATGAGAGGGCTGATGTATGAGCTAATACTAGTCCTCGGGAGTGTACAATTCCCATTAGATGCCAGTTCCAGAGATGATTTTTTTTAATCACCTACCTTCCTCACAAAAGTATGGGTATTGTGAGAGTAGGGACTTTTTTTTTTACCCTAGAGCAGTCTGACTTTCAATAATTTTCATTGTATGAATAAAATTTAAACTACAAAGTGTACGGTTTATGTGAGTGTGTGTAAATTTTATTTTTATTTTATTTTTTATTTAAATTTATCAATATACAATGTAGTTGATTTTCATGTCCCTTTACCAATTCTTCCTTTTCCTGCCTCCCTCACTCCCTCCCCCCACCATCAACATCATATCTATTCACTAGTCTTAAAAAGTTCAAGGAATTGTTGTGATTGTTGTGTCTTCTTCCCCCTCTATTTATTTGTTTGTGTATTTGTTTACTTATTTTTATTATCTCCCACAAATAAGTGAGAACATGTGGTATTTCTCTTTCTGTGCCTGGCTTATTTAACTTAATATAATTTTCTCTAAGTCCATCCATGTTGCTATGAATGGTAGTATTTCTTTTTTATTTTTTTTTATAGCAGAGTAGTGTTCTGTTGTGTAGATATACCATATTTTCCTTATCCACTCATCTGATGAGGGGCATTTAGGCTGGTTCTAACTCTTGGCTATTGTAAATAGTGCTGCAATAAACATGGGAGTACAGGTACCCCTTCAACATTATGATATCCATTCCTCTGGGTATATTCCCAGCAGTGGAATAGCTGGGTCTTATGGTAGATCTATCCGTAATTGTTTGAGGAACCACCACACCATTTTGCATAAAGGCTGCACCATTTTGCAGTCCCACCAACAGTGTAGGAGAGTTCCTTTTTCTCTGCATCCTCACCAGCATTTATCATTCTCAGTCTTTTGGATATTAGCCAGATGATTTCTTTTTAACTTACAGAAAATTCCATTTTGGATGTGATTCTGATTGTGCCTGATTGAACCTCTCTGAGAGACCAAGGATTTTATTTCATTCCTCTGTAGCCCACCTAAAAGGATTTCCTCTCACTTTTGATCTTGAGTTCAGTTAATTGTTAGAAGTCGAAGTCAGATTTAGTAATTTGGAGGAAAACTTGAGCTCATTTTTTTTCCTCCTAATGCTTCCATCTCTGGAAATATCCAGACACAAACTTCCAGTTGTATAAATTCATCAATCATTTTTATTAAAAAGTTACAGAAGCATAATTGACAGGAGATGTTGTTGTCCAACACAGGTGCTAGACATGGTTAAACTCCTATGTAGAACTCAGGTAAGGAATAGATATGGATGTGTTTTTAAAAGAATCCTCACCCTCCGAGCTCTGTTTTTGATCTCTAAAATTCAGTAACTGGATGCATTTAGTTTATATGTTATCTCTCATTATCCAAACTCACCATTGAAACTCTTGCTATTTTTAAGCTCAGCATCCCCGTAAATGTGGATAATGAGGGATAATACAATGGGTTTCTGGATTTTACCACAAGTGTACTATGTCAGATTATCTGTGATCCTGGATCATGGGATTCTGCATTTCAAAAATCTCTTAGGGTGCTTCTTTGGAGCACTAATGTCTGAGAAATATGGCTTTATGCTGTGTACAAGAATCAGGAAGTTCTTTTGAATTCTAGGAATTGAAAATGTAACTCTGATGTCATACACTTATGAGGTTTACCTGCAAAGCACTTTACACCAATAGAATGGTGTGGTGTTGAATCCTGTGGTAACCAGGATTATAATCTTGATCTTAAAATAGAAGTGGCATTCTATTTCTGGTGAAAAAAAAAAAACATTCAAAATTACCTCTAACCTCGTTATATTCCTAAAGCATGAATAGAACAGACTCATATGTGAAGAAACTGCTCAGAGAAATTAAAGACAAGAAATAGTTAAAATTTAAAAAATATTCTCAGATACTAGAAG